TCGAGTATGCAGTCGAGTGGTGGTGATGGTGATACTCGACATCTAGGTAGAGTGATGAGGTCGAGTAGAGGTGTGGCAATGGGATGAAGTCACTCGACCAGGGGGTCGAGTGATGTGATCGAGTGGTGGTCAAGAGATGGAGATAAAGACACTCGACCAGGGGGTCGAGTGATGTGGTAGAGTGGCGGTGTCTTCTACTCGACCTGGGGGTCAAGTGGTCTCTTGAGATCTTGAAGCTCCTACTCGACCTCTGGGTCGAGTGGTTTGTCATGATCATGTCTGCTTCTTCCAGATAACTCGTCAACAACTCCAAATCACCTGAAATCAACGCAAATATGCAACATGCATGCAAATCTATCCTAAACATGCAAAGTGATGATAAATGATGAGAAATGGTGTAAAACAGTGATGATATGATGCTAAAGTGATGACAAATGGATGCTCAAAACATGCAAAATACACACTTATCACAAACAATTAAGAACAAGCTGGAGGTGAGGTTTGAAAGCGGGGACTCAGAGCCAAAGCACTAGATAAACCAGATGAAATCAATGTCCAAGTTGATAGTTCTAAGCTGCGATATGATCGAATTCTACTCAAAAACGTTAGCCATGCCTGGTTATCAATCAATCCGACTCTTATGCTTGACCTACACATGTTTTCAAATCTACCAATCCCTTTAACATTCATTAGTTCTGGAACGTGAATCAAGCAATGCATCATCAATGAACTCATTAGGCTAAGGTAAAGGTAAAGAGACAAAGATGGTCCCTTACAGAATAGGCTTCAGTAACAGGGGATCTCTCAAAAAAATGATTAAGCTTTAGTAGAATGTTAAAGGTAAGTCCCAAGCTATGCATACAGAGATAAAATCCCATATACCCAGAGTATATCAAATGAAGCTCTAATGGTAATCTCATCTCCAATCCCAATATAAGAACCTAACTCTACCTTTTGCATTCATGAATCTTTTAAGCCCTTTTTCTAATCATTGTTTTCTTTTCTCTTGACTCTTAGGAGAAGCTTTCTCAACACTTTGATACATCTAGCGGATTTGGATTTCCTTAACAACTAAGGCTCCTGTTTTTAAGATTTTAAAACCGAGGGCTTTTGCTCTTCTTCAATAGCTAACAAGAACTCTTTCTTTCTTTACAAATCTCAAAACCTTTACTAGACTTTTTCTGCTTCTTTAGCTTACTTCCCCTAGAGCTTTTATCTTTTCTCATCAATGAATCAACCCTTTTTTTCTTTTAGACACATTTCAACCAAAAGTATAAGCGCCCACCTAGTCATATCTAGTCCGAAAAATGCGAACTAGAACTACATGAGACATTATCTCTGTCGTTACGAACCTAACACTTTCTACCAAGCTTAATCGGAATAAGACCTCACAAACACTCACAAGTGATATAGGGCTTGAAAGAAAGTCTAGGTTTGGGTTCGGGTTAACTGCTCTAATAAGGAGAGTCAGTGACTTGGATTAACAAGAGTGATCAAAATGAATAAGAAAATCCAAGTATTTTCGGGTATCCATGAGTTCAAATTTGATGTAGACATGATAACAAAAGATCAGATTCAGGTTCAAATTGATAGGGAATGGTATCAGATCATGACAGTGTGGTCGAGTAGAGCAATCTAGGCATGGTTCAGTTTTACTTCAATTTCATTGACTACGCAACAGACAATTAGCAACGAGGGCACTGAGTTTATCCGGTGAACCAAAATGCTTACAAGGCTATCTCATCATTATCCCCTATGCATATGCAACAATCCTAAATAAAACACTTTAGACTCGATCCTAAATGTAATGCAACTACATGAACACTCTGTTTTTGTGAAATCATTTTCTGAATTTTTTCAAATTTTTTTGGTTTTTCTATGCCTTAGATGAATGCAGACTCAAAAATATACACAATGCAACACATACTTCCTGAGCCCTCCCCTAAACTTAAATCACACAGTCCACTGTGTGAATAAACTTGGAAGAGAGTACTCAGGACAAATCCAATCACAGAAACAAAATGAAGAACAAATCACAACAGATGATATAATACAATGGTGAAGTGAGGCACTTACCTCAGTCGAAGAATGAACGAAGTTGGTCGTCAATGGCTGCCTGTGATTGCTCCTAGGCCATTGAAGAGTCACCTTGTTCTGTCTCAGCTCCAGCATGTGGTTACTCGACCTTAGTGCCTCTGTGGCGGCCATCACTGCCATGAGTATACTCGACCTCCATTCTTCTACTGTGGCCAGCACCGCGGTCGAGTGATCTCCTGGCATGGATAAGCTAAAACATGGTCGAGTATTTTTCATTGCTCTGTGGTCGAGTATACTACTGTACTCTCTGAGCTAGAATCCACTTCACTCAGCTCTTTATACTTATCTCCTGAAGACACTAACCAAATGCATCAAAATCAACAAGGAAAGATAAAGATATGTACAAAGATAGACATGGGATTTCCTCCCAAGTGAGCTTGTTTTAAGTCTCTAAGCTTGACTTCTCATACTCATTAGACTCAAGGTGGGTTGCAGAGAGGAAATGTGGTCTCCTCTCCTTCTTGAGTAGAGTGATCATCATACTCATTAGGGTTTCTTGACAGGTCTGCAATTGGGTACTCAGAGGCCATGTCCTCACAGTAAGCTTCTTTTTTATCAAGATAGTCTTCTCCTCTAGACCATTCCGATGTGAATTCACATCCTTCTTTGGTGACCAGAATAGTGGCTCCATCGTTAGGGGCGTCCTTGATGTTGAGTGGTACTTGGTTGGCTTTTCCATTGAGCTCCTTGATTTGATCTTTCAGCTCTTTCACAATATGTGTTAGCTCTTGTATGGCTTTGTCCTGCCATTTAGATCTCTCTTTGAGTTCTAACCAATCATCTGACGTCTGAGTGTTTGCCTTGAGTTGTTTAGTCGAGCATGAGCTTTTAGGGCAAGTTGGAGGCTTCTTCGAATTGTTGGTGGAATTAGTTGGTCGAGCGTGTGTTGAACTTACTTCATTAGCTTTCATAACCTTTGTGTTTGACCCCATCAAGCTCTTGTAAACCTCTGAGCCAACTGCTGACTTGTGTGAGTCTAATGACTTCTCAAAACTCAAAGTTTCACTAAGGAGATACCCAGCTTTACCACTCTTGGTCAAAACAGTTTTTGAGTTATTTGCTTCTTCAAGTTCCACTAGCAGTTCATCAACTAGCCGATCCTTTTCCTCAACTAAGAAGGTTTGTCCTTCTATTGTCGGCTTCTTCATAGCATCATTGATGTCAAACTTCATTTTAAAACCCTTCCCCATATTAAGATCAATCTTTCCTTGCTTAACATCTATGAGTGCTCCAGCTGGAGCCAAAAAGGGCCTTCTTAAGATCAAGAGATTTTTTGGTTCTTCATCCATGTTCAACACTATGAAGTCTGTAGGCACCTCCACATTTCCAATCTTTATAGGCAAATCTTCTAATAACCAATGAGGTTGTCTAACAGACCCATCAGCCAAGATCAATGAGATATTGCAATATTTATATTTGTTGAAACCAAACCTCTTAGCTACTGAGAGTGGCATTAGACTTACTGATGCTCCTAGGTCACAAAGGCATTTATTGAAAGTCAATGAACCTAGGGAGCATGGTAGAGTGAATGAACCAGGGTCTCCTAGCTTCTCTGGTACATCCTTTTCTTGTATGATGGCATTGCACTCATGGCTCATAACTGTTGTTTTCTGAACCTCTTGAATTCTCTCCATGATCAAGTCTTTGAGGAACTTTTGGGAATCCGAGATACGCGTTAGAGCATCAGCAAGAGGTATCCTTAATTCGACTTCCTTGATATTCTTGGCAAACATAGCTCTGTACTGATCTTCTAACTCTTTCTTGTGTCGACCAGGAAATGGAAGTGGGGGCTTGTAAGGATGAGGAATGAAGATTTTTTCTTTGTTTTTGACAGCAACTGGTTTTGGAGCAGTTGGTGATGTTGCTGGGAAGGTCGGTCGAGTAAAGTGGTCGAGTGACTGGTCGAGTGACTGGTCGAGTGGCTGCTCGAGTTGTTTGTCAGCTTGATCTTTATTGAGACTGAAATCCTCCCCATCTTGGTATGCACTGTCCTCAGTGACTGACTTGGGTCTCTCTCTAGTGGATAACTCACTTCCACTCCTTATGTTGATAGCATGAACATTAGCATACTCCTTGGAATTCTGAATTGACTTCCCTGGAAGTCTTGTAACTTTGAGAGCAGAGGTAGATGCGGATTGTCCTTCTAAGTATCTGACTTTGGAATTCAAGGCCTCCACTTTGGCATTAGGTCATTGTAGCAGCAGTTCAGCTTGTGGTGCAATTAGGATAACATCTTAGCAATTCCCATGGAGCTAGATGTTTGTCCCTGTAGCAGCTGTTGTACCATCTGTTTCATTTCAGCGTCAGGAGCAGCAGGACCTTGGTTTTGCTGAGGTGCAAACCCAAGTGGTGGTTGCGGCTGGTAGTTCCCCTGGAATTGCTGCTTGGGAACGAAACCTTGATGGTAAGGAACAAAAGGTTTGTTCTGACCTTGTTGTTGTTGTGGAGGGTAGACTTGGTCTTGTGGATTAGCAACGTTGGTGCTGCGGTAGGAGAGGTTGGGGTTGTTGGTTTTGAAGTTGTTGTATCCTTTGTAGCCACCCTGGTTGTTGTTGATGTAGCTGACTTCTTCCAACTGGTTACCCTCCCCAACTTGGACTTGATACTGCTCGTCATCAACAAGGAAGTGCACATGTTTCTGCTGGCTAAGGAGAATTCTGTCCAGGTTGTCATTCAGCGCTCTAATCTCCTTCCTGTGTTTGTCATCAGAGTCAGTTGTGCTTCTGACGGTCCTATCGCAATCCTCGTTGTAATTACCATCTGATTGAGCAAGGTTCTCAACCAATTCCCAGCCTTCTTCAACATCGTTGTTCTGGAAAATCCCATTGCTGGCGGTATCCAGAACCATTCGGATGCATGGTAGAACTCTTCTGTAAAGAGTGCTGAGCAGAGAGGCTTTAGTGAAGCCATGATGAGGGAATTGGTTGGTATAGCCCTTGAAACGCTCCCATGCTTGACAAAAGCTTTCACCAGTCTTCTGTAAAAAGCCCGAGATCTCATTTCTGAGTCTTGCAGTTCTGGCGTTGGAGAAGAACTTTGATAAAAAAGCCTTCTTGCAATCATCTCAGGTGGTGATTGAGTCATGGGGCAAATTCTTCTCCCAGATGTGTGCTTTGTCGCCCAAGGAGAATGGAAACAAACGGAGCTTGAATCCGTCTTCACTGATACCATTGATTTTTGTTAGGTTGCAGAGCCTATCAAATTCATCAAGGTGTTCGAGTGGATCCTCCATTGGCTGACCATGGAATTTGTTCCCCTGAATCATCGAGATGAGACCACTCTTAATCTCGAAGTTGTTGTTCTGGATAGTAGGATGTGCAATTCGTTTGCGCTGACGGTGATCACGTGGTGAATCTCCAGCACTAATGTTGGTAGGGCCATTTTGTTGATTCTGTTCGTCAGCCATTTCGAGTGGTTGCTGTGGTACAAGGTTGACTGTGTTTCTCCTCTCTCTGAGTTCGCGAGCTATGCGGTCGATGTTGTCGTTGAAAATGAGGTTTTTATTGCTTGTTGATCGAGTTTGCATACAGAAGAGGTGTACTTGGATCAAGAAGACAACACGAAAAACACACAGTTAGCAACCGAATTGAAAATTGAAAAAGAACTTGATCTAAGCAAGTCTGAAATCTCAAATGTAACAAACAAACACCCAATTGGCAATGGCGCCAAATTGATAATAGGTTTTTAGTCAATTATCCTAAAACACCAATCATGTCGTTGTAGTATTTTAGGTTGTCAATCCAAATGGGTGTGATGCTAACAATCAAGATGTGATCAGAAGTCACTAAGTCAAGCTCAGCAATAACAGGTTTTTGTGTGTTCTAGCAGTCCTAAGTGAACATGCAGAAAACAGAAAATCAAGCAGAAACAGTAAAACACTCGACCAACACAGCTCGTTGCAGAGCACTGGGTGTGGTCGAGTGACAGGTCAAGTAACAGACAGAAAATGTAACAGAGATACTCAACTGCACAGTCTGTTGCTAGACAACTGGGTGGTCGAGTATCAGGTCGAGTAACAGTAAAGAATTGTAGAAACTAAGCGACAGATGACAAGATGCAGTAAACAGCAATAGAGTAAACAATCAATTCAATCAGATAAAGAATTCTCGAGGATGGGGTATGATATGTCTATAATTTTCATGTTTTACACATCCTTTTATCACCATTTTGAGTCTAGTTTCATCCATCTTTCATAGTATTCACCATCATTTTTGTACATTTTGCATCTTTAGTTGAGTCTAGGACTAGTCTTGCATACATTCTGCATTCTGGAGTTGTTTCAGGTGTTTTGGAGCTATTGGTGCTGAGAAAGAGGAAAAACAGAACAGAAAGTCACACTTCCACCAACATACTCGATCACCAGTACCAGAGAGGGAAGCAGTCAGCTCAGCAGTCCATCCACACACTTCTACTCGATCGCAGAGGAGAAGAACCAGTCCATCCTGCAGCTGACACACTTACTCGATCACAGAGGCCAAGAAGCAGCCCAGATCATTCTGTCAACCAACCTACTCGACCACCACCTCGACCCTCTGATCAATCCGCATTCAACAAGACAACCTGAGCATCGGAAAGAGAAGAGAAGAGAAGGCCCATTCTAAGCCCATCAGGAAACCCACTTTGAGCCGACAGTCTTGATCACGCTGTCCATGGGCCGATAAGTGGGCTCGAAGCCCGCTTTCTTATCTTAGTATAAATAAGTCTCTAAGGGTTTTCTGTGACTTTTATACTGCGATCGAGTATATCAGTCATTTCTGTGACTTTTTACTGTTTTCTGCATCAACACTAGGACTGTTAGAAAACTAACCAAATTCTGCTTTGCTTGACTTAGCAACTTCTGATCATAACTAATCTGTCTGCATCACACCCATTTGGATTGACACCTAAAATACTACAACGACAGGATTAGTGCTTTAGGATAATTGAGCAAAAAAAACTACTATCAATTTGGCGTTGTTGCCAAATTGGGAGTTTTCTTTGCTATATTTAAGACTTTTGGAAACGTTAAGATCAAGTTCGTTTGTTACGCGGTTACTGACTCTGTGTCTTTTTCTCTGTTTGTGTGTTTCAGGTACTCACATTCACCAGCTTCCCTGGACTAGTCTCTGATTGGTCTGTCCAAGCTGTGCTGATATCTGTTGTATGCAAACACGGTCACAAGGACATCAAAACCTCCTCATCAACGACAACATCGACCGCATCGCTCGCTCTCTAAGAGAACAGACACATACAAATACGATGGCTGACGTTGTAGATGAGCAAGAACTGCCCAACAACATTGGCGCTGGCGACTTCCCACACAACCATAACCTGCGTCATGGCATTGTCCCTCCGCCGGTTCAGAATAACAATTTCGAGATCAAGAGCGGTCTCATTGCTATGGTTCAGGGGAACAAATTTCACGGCCTGCCAATGGAAGACCCACTCGATCACCTGGACGAGTTTGAAAGGCTCTGCAGCCTTACAAAAATTAATGGAGTTAGTGAAAATGGTTTCAAGGTTCGTCTGTTCCCGTTTTCACTTGGAGACAAAGCCTATCTGTGGGAGAAGACGCTACCCCAGGGATCAGTCACAACCTGGGACGACTGCAAGAAAGCCTCTCTGGCTAAATTTTTCTCCAACTCCAGAACTGCAAGACAACGGAATGAGATATCCGGATTCACACAGCAGAATGTTGAAACCTTCTGTGAAGCATGGGAGCGCTTCAAAGGCTATCAGACCAAATGCCCTCATCACGGGTTCTAAAAAGCTTCACTTCTCAGCACTCTCTGTAGAGGTGTCCTTCCCAAGATCATGATACTTCTTGATACCCCTTCCAACGGGAACTTCCTCAACAAGGACGTTGAAGAAGGATGGGAGCTGGTAGAGAATTTGGCACAATCGGATGGCAACTACAATGTAGAGTACGATAGAAGCATCCGCACCAACTCTGATTCTGATGAGAAGCACCGCAGGGATATGAAAGCTATGAATGACAAGTTGGACAAGTTACTCCTTGTGCAACAGAAGCACGTTCATTTTCTGGGTGACGATGAGACGTTCCAAGTTCAGGATGGGGAGACTCTGCAGTCTGAAGAAGTCAGCTATGTGCAAAACCAAGGAGGTTACAACAAAGGTTTCAACAACAACAAGCAAAACTATCCCAATCTGTCTTACAGAAGTACCAATGTTGCAAACCCACAGGACCAAGTCTACCCTTCACAGCAGCAGAATCAAGCCAAGCCCTTTGTTCCATACAACCAAGGTCAGGGGTATGTTCCTAAGCAGCAGTATCAAGGCACCTATCAGCAGCAACTTCCACCACCTAGGTTCACACAACAGCAAAACCAACAACCTTCACCAATTCCAGATACAGACTTGAAGAACATGATACAACATATTCTCCAGGGACAAACAGCAGGAGCAATGGATCTCGCCAAAAAGATGGCAGAAATCAACAACAAGGTTGACTGCACTTTCAACGATCTGAACATCAAACTTGAGGCACTTACCTCTAAGGTCAGATACATGGAAGGACAAACTGCGTCGACCTCGGCTCCCAAAGTTACAGGACTTCCAGGGAAGTCCATTTAGAACCCGAAAGAATATGCCACCGCTCACGATATCACTATCTACCATGATCGAGAGCTGCCTACTCGACATATCTCCAACTCAATCACTGAGGACAGTGATGTTCAGGAAGGGGAGACCTCTACTCAGATTGAAATTTCAGTTGTTGGACTCGACCATTTAGCTGGATCTCGCCTTCAAACTAAGTCCACCTTGGACGAGAAAGCAGCCATCATTGAGAGGATGGTAGAACGATTCAAGCCAGCACCATTACCTTCACGTGCTCTTCTATGGAAATTCAGGAAAGCGTGGATAGAAAGATACAAGTCTCTTGCAGAGAAGCAGCTTGATGAGATGGAAGTGGTGATGCCTCTTATAGAAGTTCTCGACCTGATCATGGACCCCCACAAAGATGTGAGAAATTCAATTCTGGAAAGGATCAAAAGGTATCAAGATTCAGATGACGAATGTGATGCTAATCCTTCTAGAGCTACTGTTAAGAGGAGCATTCAAGAAAAGCTAGAAGATCCTGGATCTTTCACTCTACCATGTTCCATTGGACAATTGGCTTTCAGCAGTTGTCTATGTGACTTAGGAGCTTCAGTAAGCTTAATGCCACTCTCTGTGGCAAGGAAGCTGGAATTCACTCAGTATAGGCCTTGCGACCTAACTTTAATCCTTGGTGATAGGTCTTCAAGAAAACCTTTCGGCCTGCTAAAAGATCTACCAGTAATGATTAATGGAGTGGAATTGCCTACGGATTTCGTTGTGCTTGAGATGGAAGCAGAACCTAAGGATCCTCTAATCCTAGGAAGACCTTTCTTATCCTCAATGGGAGCGATGATAGATGTCAAAGATGGGAGAATAAGTCTTAACCTTGGGAAGCACATCAAGCTGCAGTTTGACATCAACAAAACTTCGCAAAGGTCAACTATAGAAGAACAGATCACAGCTCAACCTCAGCCTTTGAATTCAGTCACCCGTTCAAGCACAACCTTTGCACCTGACTTGCGAGAACTCAAAGAAAAATCTGATGAGCAAGAGGAACTCATATGGAAGCTAGCCCGCACTTTTGAAGAACTTAAGGGTAAAATGGATAAAATGCAAGAGGAAGCTCGACCTCAACTCAACATTGGGGTTATCCCGAGAAAGAAGTTCATTCCGGTATGGTCCGAAGAAATAGACTACCCACCAGAAGAGAAATAGGCCTGATAATAAGTTTTTATGCAATTATCGTAAAACACCAATCAAGTCGTTGTACTATTTTAGGTGTCAATCCAAATGGGTGTGATGCAAACAGATGAGATGTGATCAGAAGTCACTAAGTCAAGCCAAGCAATAATAGTTTTGGGGTTTCTAACAGTCCTAAGCGAACATGCAGAAAACAGAAGCAATAACAGAATTACTAAAATCACTCGACCACAACAGGCTGATGCCAGAAGTAGGATGTGGTCGAGTAAC